GTATTTTTTTAAATGCAATAGTAATTAAAACATAAAAATAAATGAATGAAGTTGTTGTATTCGCTTGTAGGAAAGCACTAAATATTTTCGATTGTGCTATCTCAAATTATCGGAAACGTAGATAATGCATTATCTTGGTTTTAGTCATTGATAAGCTTTATTGGAGCCTATTTTTATGTCAAAAATGTCATAGTTTCGCAACGATTTCCCTTGTTTTCATTATAAATATCACGCTTGTTACTCTTCGGAGGGTTAGACAGGGGCGCACTTTTCAGCAATTATGTCATGGTCTCATGGATTAGGTCGTATTTTATTTTCTTACTAGCTTTTGCCCGCGACTTCGTCCGTGTAGAATATGAATTTTATAACATAACTTTTCTTTGGTGCTATTTTCCAAAATGACAGTAGTTCTATGTTACTCCTTAGTATATCAGCTACCTGCCAATTAAAGTCTTGCAACATCGGTCCAGTCATTTCAGAGATTAGCCAGTACAAACAGACAGACAGACAGAAAAAAATTGTAAAAAAATGGTTTTTTGGTATGTGTAAGATAGTAATATAGGTAGATGTAATATACATACGATACAGATACCAAAATAACAAGTAACATATGCATGTAGTCGAATGGGCCGGCTCGACCGGAGTGATACCACGAGCAGAAAACCGACGTGAAGCAACGCTTGCGTTTTGTTTCATCGTGTGAGTGAGGTTACCGGAGGCCCAATTACCCCTCCTCCCTAGTCTCCCCAATCCTGGAGGATAATGATAGGGATTGGAAGATTAGGCCCAATTTCCAAAAGGCCGGTAAGACACTTGTAACGCCTTGGTGTTCCAGGTGTCCATGGGCGGCGCCGATTGCTTACCATCAGGTGATCCGTCTGCTCGTTTACCGGCTTATGCCATGAAAAAACTGCCACAACACCAGCGTGAAATAACGCACGCTTGCGTTGTGTGCAGCCGTGTGTGGGCAGGCCCAATCCCCAAAGGCCAGCAATGCACTTGTAACAGCTATTCTGATCCGGGTTTCCATTGGTGCCGCTGATTACTTCAGGTGATCCGTCTGCTAGAAAAGATGCATGCATTGTGCGCTTCTCTCGTACTTTTCTGCCTCGCATAGAAAAACTGTGGAATGATCTGTCGTCGGCGGTATTTCCGAACCGATACGACCTTCAAACCTTTAAAAAAAGAGCGTATTCCTTTTTAAAAGGCCGACAACATACTTGTGTTTCCTCTGGTGTTGCGAGTGTCTGTACTGCTAGCGATGAATCAAAGTACGTATTTACACATAGATTTTTTGTATTTTTAGTGCCATATCTGTACAATAAAATTAATAAAGAAACCTTAGTTTACGATGTAAATTACACCAGAGCAAAACAGCGCATTTCTCAGTAACTGCTATCATTAAGTTATGAAAGAAGCGAGGATTTGTTGATTGAAATTTAATAAATAATGTATAGGTATAACTAGATAATAATTATTTTGATAAATGCAAGTATAAAGTTAGTGTTTCCTAACTTATGTATACATAGGTTTTGTAATATTGGTGACTGTAAAAATAATATTGTTAAGGCTTAGTTATATTATCCTAATGTATAATGAACGCGACCACAAAGCCTGTGGTACAGATTTAATTCTATACAGGCATTGTATTGTAACTGTGTATATGTGAACAAAATGGAAATAAATATATTGTTTGTTTGTTACGTGGGGCGCTGATCGCTCACCATCAGGTGATCTGTCAGCTTGCTTGCCTCCTATTCCATAAAAAACATGTACTTAGACTTAGATAATGTTAGATCCTATTGCTATATTAGATGGCATTGCTATCGTACTAATATTACAAATGTGAAAGTTTTTGTGTAAAAGTAAAAACAGCTGAAGGAATCGGGATGATATTTGGAAAAGGGATAGTTTATAGTTTGGAATAACACATTATACGCTACTTTTATTATCCCATGGGATCGTGGATGAAACCACTGACAGGAGATAATCTAATATAGGTAATCTTTTTCTCGAGCGTACGGCGCGTCGCGTTCCGCGCGCGCTTTAAAGAGCCCTCAGACCACCACAGATGGGGCCCAACAGAACCGATGCCGATTCGGAGTCGCGGAGAACCTAACGGGTGACCGGGGCTCCGGCTCGACGTGCGGAAAAGGCACGGGGTGGTTTTTATTCAGTAAGAGCCTGACACTCCCTCCTGCCTCACCCAGGCGGGTGCAGTAATTCGATGATTTTCCCCCCTTAAAAAATATAATCTACTACTAACTAATAACCAACTTTTTTATTAAAATATTCCGACTGGAAATTACATAATGAACACAATGAATGAAAACGAGTAAGTAAGAATCTATATTTAAACATTTCAATAAGTAGATAGCGGTACATAGATTAGCTAAAATACTTTAATTCCTACTTTGACAAATGATGTATCAGTATTCAGTTGTTTTAATCTTTAGGTACATAATGGCGTGGTTATGAAACACGATAAGATTAACATTAACACTGAAATTTGTGGCTTAGTATACACAGAGCCGTATTACCCCTAAGGCGCTCTAGACAAGTGCCGGGCGCCAGGTGACAGAGGGGCGCTGCGAGACGTACGGCGCGTCGCATTTCGCGCGCGCCTCTAAGAGTTATTAGACCATCATAGATAGGGTCCAATAAATAAATAATAATAAATAATAAATTTATTGAAACAAGAAAGAGATTACACAATTTTGTTTTACATAATGTCTATCATATAACTTACATAATATTTGTATCATGAAAACAATTTTAGCATCTGTTGCTGAGATCGGTCTTAAGCCTGTGCTTCAGCTCGCAGCGCTTCAATCCTCGGAGCAAGTTTGTAAATTATAAAAACTAAATCTGGGTATACAAATCAATAAACGTAAGAAATAACATGCTTAACAATAAAATAAATTGTAAACTATCGTGAGTAAAAGTCCTCTGGATGAATAAAGTGAAAAATTAGTGTAAGTATGTGTGTCAGAGGGTGAGTAATTATGCCAGTTGTATAGGGCTGATGCCGATCGATGCCGCGGAGGCATACGGGTTATCGGGGCTCCGGCTCGAAGTAGGAACGGGGTGGTTTTTAGTCAACAAGAGTTTGACACTCCCTCCCGCCTCACCTTGCCGGGAAAAGTCATTGGATGATGTTTCCTCCTTAAAAAAGGCAAATGTCTAGGGCGCCAGGTTACAGAGGGGCTTCGTGAGACGTGTGTGCCCAAGTGACAATAGATTAGGTAAATAGGGGCGCCTATGAGGTGCTTGCATAGGGCGCTCTCTAGGTTCTCAAGGTTTCAATGGTTATATCTATCATTCGTAATTAGCTACTCCCACGTAGTTTCAACCGCTCTGCTCGGCTCCAATCAATCGTATAGTGAGTTTTTATAGCATACAGCCTTCGTCGATGAATATTCAACATAAAAAATTCAAATTTGTATCACTATTTCCAGAGATATGGTCATTCAAACAAACAAACTCACATGAACATCCTATAAGTGCTCACTGCTGACCAAAGGCCTTTTCTCATACAGATACGGTTTGAGCATTAATCACCACGCTTACTCAGTGCCAGTTGACGATTACATACTTATAATTAGAAATTAAAAGCTTAGGTTTCCTAACAATGCCTGCAAACCAGAACCAAATCCGAACGTACGGCGCGTCGCGTTCCGCGCGCCTCAAATAACCATCAGACCACCACAGATGGAGCCCAACAGGGCTAATGCCGATACGGAGCCACGGAAGACTTAACGGGTTACCGAGGCTCCGGCTCGAAGTGTAAGAGTAGGAACGGGGTGGTTTTCAGTCAGTAAGAGTCTGACACTCCCTCCCGCCTCACCCGGGCGGGAGAAGTCATTCGATGATTTCCTCCCCTCAAAAAAAAAAGGTTTCTTAACAATGTTTTCGTTCAATGTTTGTCAGTGGTGTCTAAATAATTTTAGAAAGTACATACATATAACTCGGAAGAAGTCCTATTGGTACTAGCCATGTATAGGTTTCGAACTATCACCCTAATGGCAAATAATATTATGGTATTTAAAAAAAACCACGCGCGACTCTATTAGAAAGAAAGAAAAGATATTTATTCACCAATTGTTTTGTTAGCTATTGTGTTAACGTTGTCACCAAACTTGTAAGGAACAATATAATATGATTATTTTAGGACCACAAAGGATAATAGGTAGCTTTTTTAGACAAAGAAATATTATAATAAAGATCAAGATAACATTGTAAAAAGAAATTCCCACGGAGACGGGCGGCTCCTGAATATAAAAAGGCAGAATTTATGCACAGTGCTTCATTCTACTGCGATACTTTGTGTAGGACGCAAGTTTGCTCTCGTTGTGCTGAAAGTGATTCATACCTTGTGATCCAAACTTTATGCTGTTTTGATCCTGATATTTCGAACGACCTGGTTTTATTTTCCTGTTCCTGATCTACCAAAGAAGATTGACAATGTAAGTACTTTTTAAAATAACGTTTAATTTTATAAGATGTGAACAATCGTCAGAGCTTATATCTACGAATATACGGTCTAATATACGGTAATATATATATACGGTAATATACGGTCGTCAGATGTGTACATAATGTATCACTTGTCAACCCAACACTTGCTTTATTCGAAAAATAAGGCAGTCTAGTAACAATAGGGTTTTATCTAAAACCCAACCTTAAATGTGCTTAAATATCATTAACACGTTAAACGCCATGGGGGTCACCGGTGACCGGTGTTAGCGGAGGATTTACCTTCAACAGTTTTTTATTGGCAGTCAGAGTCTTAACATATTATTTTTATCTTTCAAGAAGCTTATATTAATTTAATTAAATACGTATTTAAATAACGTTTAATTTCATACGATATAAGCAATCTACAGAGCTTTTATCTCCGAAGAGGTAGACACAGGGAGCTTAGAAACAATCATATGTACTTTATCGAACAACCTAACTTAAATATAAAATAACAGTATTTTTTTCTATTTCAGCTAAAAATGATAAACAACGAGAACTACGCGACATGTCCGTACAACCCATGCCACCGAGTGTCTCGCTCCAGGCTGCAGCATCACATCATCAAATGCCAGAAGACCCATCCGCCACTAGAAATATGTCTGTTCAACGCCACACACCGTTACCCAGCCCATCTCATGAAAGACCACTACGAAGTATGTCCGAATAAGATACAAAAGGAACAAAGTCTTAGTTTTAGAAACAATTTTTGTACTAGTAATATTACGATTGGAGCGAGGCGGGCTCCGATACCACTGAAGCAACAGGATTATCTCCCGGAGCACGATCCTGATTATGAGTGCTGGGATGATTAAGCTGTATACATGTTTTTATGGTTGCATTTTGTTTGTGGAGGTGGATAAGCTTAGAAAGAGCACACTAAGCAAGCACCTTGTCGCGGAGAACCTAACGGGTAACCGGGGCTCCGGCTCGACGTGCAGGAGAAGGAACGGGGTGGTTTTTAGTCAGTAAGAATCTGACACTCCCTCCCGCCTCACTCAGGCGGGAGCAGTCATTCGATGATTTTCCCCCCTTAATAAAAGCAAGCACCTTATAGTCGCCCCTAATTTGTTTTGGCGCCCCACCACTCTATGGACAGGCGTCTCGCGGCGCCCCTCTGTAACCTGGCGCCCAGCACTTGTCTAGAGCGCCTTAGGGATAGTACGGCTCTGGTTTTTACGGTTGTATTTTATGTGTTCCTTGTGTTATGCAGAAGTTGACAACGGTTTTGTAGATCTTGATTTCTAGTTACTGTATGATTTTATATTGTGATTGTGTTGTGGCAGAATCATTTTAAGTGGTTTTCTGATTACGTATGTAAATAGATTAATTTGTTAATGTTAGATGTCATTTATTATTATGTATGGAACTTAAAATATAGTTTGTAAGTCTTATAATAAAACTTGAAACATTTCTCATATATTTTGCCTATTTTCTTATAAACAAACTTTCTACACTTCTGCCAACGCATGTAAGAATAAAAGAATAAAAGCATTTTAATAACACAGAAATAAAATAAAAAAACAAAACAAAAAAAATCAAATAACATCACGCCCTTAACCCCGAAGGGGTAGGCAGAGGTGCACATTACGGCACTTAATGTCACTGTACAATGAAACACCCATTTTTCACTATCTATGCTATGAGTCTCATGTAATAGGGGGTGAGCCTATTGCCATATACCGGGCACAATTCCAGACTCCGTGCTACCACTGAGATTTTTTTTAAAACCCAGTAGTACTTACTTTGCCGACCCGGAAATCTAACCCGAGACCCCTTGCCCAGCAGTCGCACTTGCAACCACTCGGCCAACGAGGCAGTTGTCAAATAATGTTATGAATGTTTGCTTCATTAGTCGAGTGGTGACAACAGCGGCTGCTGCTGGTTGGATTCTCGGGTTTCTTTTTTAGAGCCAATGAGCAAGCAGAATATCTGATGGTAAGCCAAAAGCACCAGCAAATTTCCGTGGTGCTTGGCGACTGGGCTTCTCCCAGTTGAACAGTCTCTTTTTTGTGCCTATAAGCTTAATTCATTCTGTCTCCTGCAGTAATTCACCGAGGGAAGTGGAAACTATCGTTTTTATTTCTAGTCCTCTTATAATATCTTCTGATTCATTTCGTTGCGGGAACCAAGACAGTTACTCATGTCCCTGGGACGCGCCGGACTTCAGTGTTCCGGTGTTTTCATGGTTATATCTACTGTAGATCCTGGTTTACAGGAGTTGCAGTAATTTTGGGAGGATGTGTGGGTCAACCCATAAAAAAAGCACCAGCTGTGGACACCTGCAACCCGCAATACCGATTTCTCAATAAGTACGTTGCTGGCCTTTGTTGGACCTCTGGTATCCACACTCATAGGTTTACTTTGATACCTGAAGCTGTGGTATTTTTTTAATGTAATGTGCCGACGTTTGTCCACGAACTAGCGATGGTAAGCGATGATGCAACCTACGACGAAGTATGCCTGCATAAGCAATCTATTCACTGGGGCCTTGAAGACACCCAGGTTATACTCATCTGGAAACAGACTTTGGCAAGAAGTTCTACTACTCAGTGCAGTACCATAACTATAGAGTGGCAAGGCAGAAAAATACCACGAGCCCAATCCAGAGGCTCGTCTCGCAGACGGATCACCTGATGGTAAGCAATCGGCGTCGCCCATGGACACCTGGAACACCAGAGGCGTCACAAGTGCGTTACCGGCTTTTTGTGGATTAGGAGTTTGAGGATCGTTTGGGATTCAGGGATTGGGGAGATTGGGGTAGAAGTAATTAGGTATCATTTTCGAGCCGACCTATTCATGCCGAAGCATGGCTCTCTCACACTTACGTGTGAACACGTACGTACACTCGTATCTGAATTTCTCTGTTTTAATAGACAAAACGGGTTCATACGGTGAATTTGCCACGTACTTTGAACGGTATAGTTACGCCATTCATTCAGCGGTTATAACAGCTATGTATCTATATCATTCTGTGTGCTTACTCTTAAACCAATCTCAATGTCATTATTTTTTAATTTTAATTAAATAAAATCTCAATTCATATTCAATGTCAACACTATACAACCCCAATCGTAGCTGTTACAATAGCATTCAGAGAACGGAATATAAAGCCAAACTCAATAAAAACCAAACTATAAAGCCAAACTCAAATCGTACTGCGTGGATATTGAATGAACTAAATGGTATACTTAGTTCATTCAATATCCACGCAGTACGAATGCAATGGGCGCTAGTGTTACAACTCAAGAGTACGACACAATACCAACGTCGATCGATCGGAATTGGATTCAAGAGTAAGCCCCCTGGGCTTATAATTTCTAATTATAAGTTTGACATCGTCAGCCCGCTTAAGCAAGCGTGGTGATTAATGCTCAAACCATCTCCGTGTGAGAAGAGGCCTTTGGTCTTACAGGCTGAATGAAAAAACAACTGCTAATATTTAATTTTTTTATTTAAAGGGGTGCTATTTTTATATGTCGCACCATCTAAAAATGTTACTAGGACCGACATTGCATTCTTCGTAGTGGTCTGTCATCAGATGTGCCGAGTAACGATGTATAGCGTTGAACACACATATTTCTAGCGTGGAATGGGTCTTCTGACATTTGATGATGTGATGCAGCAGCCAGGAGCAGGCCACTCGGTGACATGGGTTGTACGGACATGTCGCGTACTTAATTCTCGTTGAAATTCCATTTTAGCTGAAAGAGACAAAAAATATTGTTATTTTTATAGTTAAACTAGCGGACCCGACAGACATTGTCCTGTAATAATAGGTTAGATAAATAACCTAGAAATCGACTGCAGCGCCATCTGCCGGGCTGATTTGTGAATCTAAACCATTCCCAGATCCCCTTGAAAACACACAAAAAATTCATCAAAATCGGTCCAGTCGTTTGAGAGAAGTTCAGTGACATTCACACTCACAGAAGAATTAAGAATAAGAATAAGAATAAGAATAAGAATAATTTATTTAGCAAAACAAAGGACAAGTATACCTATTATTTAACAGAAAGCGATAATGAATACATAGAAATCACAATCACAATTGCAAGGTAGACCAAAAAATACTAGTTTATAATGTATACATACAAGTTAACATAAGCAGTGGCATTTCTGTAGTATCAATAATACACAGCAACAGCAATCCTATAATACACCTTACAAACAAAAGTAATTTAACTCAGTAATTCACAAGACAATAAGTTTGATACCAAAAGTGTAATAAATGTCCACAGACGGTATACGTAGATTTTTTACTTTACCTCCCGTGCTAGTCAAAGACTGTGTTACGGCAAGGTAAGATTCTCGCTCGAACGATTTATTTTCAATCATGTAACGTAGAACATAAAGTACCCTTTTGCTTACAGCTTTGATTTTTCAACTACTAATAATTTTATAATAAGTAACAGCCACAAAGTATGAACAAATAGTACATGCAAAACTTTTAGACAAAAAATCTGGTGCGAAAAATTTAACTGGTGATCAGTACAAAATTAGTAACTGGCCAATATTTATGTGCAACTCATTTTTGGTATGTACCTTTGATATATGCGTAATGTATAGTTTTCCCACTCTGTAGTTATGTCCTTGTAAAGTGATGAGGAGTAAACATTTAAGTATTAACATTATTAATGTAAATGTAGATATTTTGAAGCATTTGGTACAAAATACAAAATAAAGAATAAAAAAATAAAAAATAAAAAATAAATAGATGAAATAAGAATAAACACTATATATTAAACAATAATAATGTATATACATATATACAATATATATTAAAAAAAATAATAAATAATAAATCTATATAGGTAGTTATGTATGATAAATAAAAATTTACTGGTATGAAGAATATGTATAAATAAATTAGTCTTGAGCTCATATTTTTATGAATTGTTCAGTCCGTTCATAGTCCATTTTACCGAGAAACTCATCCAGTGCCCTTCTGCAAGCATGTCTTGTCATATCTTTTAAGGGTTTTACTCTACTTATACGATTGTACAATAGTGGAGCCAGGAAAAAGGAGAAACTTTGTGCAAATGTTGTTTTACAGGCTGGGACATCATACACCTCATGTGATCTTCTCGAAGATTTATTTATTGGCCTTTTTTTGATATGCTGTTTTAGTACTATACTCTGTATAAAAAGTTGACGAACGTTTAAAACCTCAAATTCTTTGTATAGTTCAGTCGTGGGATACGTAAATTTTTTGAAGTTTATGACCTTTAGGATACATCGATGAACCCTTTCTATTTTTATGATATTACTTTTTCCAGCACCACCCCAAGCCGAAATACCATAAGAAAGTATAGATCGACACAATGTGAAGTAAACAGTTTTGTTAGTGGATTTGTCCTGTAAATTCCTAATCTTTTTGAAAATTGGTATGAGTTTGCGTATGCGAGTTTTTAAATTACTTATGTGCTGTTTCCAGTTCAAATTTTTATCAATGTCGATACCAAGATATTTAGTACTGTCCGTTGCGGACAACAAGAAACAATCACAATCATTGGTATTTTGACAATCAATGTCGTGAGCCTTTAAGACAAAATCGGTAGGCGGTTGTAGATTGTTTTTTAAACTAAAAGTTATATATTTCGTTTTTGAGAGGTTTAGCGTCAGCAAATTGTAATCAAGCCATTTAATTATCTGTCGAAGACCCCGCTCGGCGGACGCCTTGACATCAGCCCATGTTTTATCTTGGAATAAGACCACTGTATCATCCGCAAATGTAATTACTTTTGCGTCGGGGAAGCTCATATTACATAGGTTATTTACGTAAATCAAGAACAATGTAGGTCCAAGTACTGAT